TTTCAAGTATTTCTCTTCCCTTTTGGCTGCTGAACATAGCAGCAAGTGAGCTAAGAGATAACAAGTATAGGCTGCCGCAGGGACTGGATTTAAATCAAACCCATTTCTCTTCCATGCCTGCATGACTCACTTTCAATAGAAAGTCTGGCAACAAAAGGATGTGAATGACCACATTGCTTGGCATGTTGACAAGTGAGGTATGTTTATGCCTATGATTAATGAGGGATGGAGCTTGGAACTCTGGTACATCTTTTAGATGTTGCATCTACAGATGATCTTTTGAGTTGGCACAAAACTAAATGACAGTTGTGTATTACTGCTGAGTTTATTTAATTAGGCATTGCAAAGATAAAGGAAGCGGCAATCATTATGCAGAGCAACGGAAGTTAATTTGTGTTGCTGTCGTTTTCCTGCATTTGCACATTTGGCTAATACAATGTAATACCATGCACGTGCATTTAACTTTTTGTTGTGCTTGGATCCAGTAATCCGCTTTCATTAATGTAACGCACTAGTGAACTCTGACCATCTTAGTGGAATCTGCCAATCAGCATTTGTAAGTTTCTCATTTTACATTTTGGATTGGGCTACAATTGTTAGTAAGAAAAGGGGTTAAGCTGACTTTTGTTGTGTATCATCTCCTTTTTACACCACACACATTTTTTCCTCTTCATTCAGCGAAATGTTCTGTGCTGTACCGTTTTTTTTCCATGAATTTGTATTCCTGTATATTTCATTAATAAATAATGGCCGTGTTACAGCACTGGTTTTCTCTTGATGAAAGAAAAATGAAAAATAGAGGTGCACCAAAATGGAAGTTTTAAAACCGAAACAAAACCGAAATAAAAAAAATTCTCAGGCTGAAACCGATACCGAAAATGTTTTTTATTTTAAATTTGTTCACATTTTTAAAATATTTTTATTTTTGATAAACTTTTACATTTTTTTAAAAAAAAATTTTATTCATTTTTTATTAAATTATTTTTATTTTTTACTTTACTTTAGGGGCTTTTGGGAAATATCAGGGGTCTAAACAGACCCCTGATATTTCCCGTTGAAAATAGAAAAAGAGATTGAGGACACAAAGTCCTCAATCTCTTTTTCTGTATCCCCTGTTATCAATGAACAGCAACTATGAGTGTTCCTGTTCATTCATAACATGAGGACAGAGTATGGTTACTATAACTACAATCATGAATGAACAGGAGATGATGTAGATCATAATTGAGGATATAGTACACATATCATGTCCACAATTATCTGCAAACACGTGTACCTTGCTCTCCTCTCTGACACACTGTCAGAGGAGGCTGATAGAGTGGTGAAGGGAGGAGAGCTCAGCCTCCTATGACAGCCCGGCCTGTCTCCACCCACACACTGCTCTGCCGGACTGTGATAGGATGCTGAGCGGTGGGGGAGGAGACGCCGGACGCTCATAGCGCTCGGCAGGCTGTCACACTTTCTCTCCTCCCCGACGCGACACAGAGCAGCACCCAGGGGGGAGGAAAGAAAGCAGGAATGCGCCGATGTATCGGCAGGAAAATGGCACTTTTGGCATTATGCCAAAAGTGCAATTTTCGGCCGATATATTGGTGCATCTCTAATGAAAAGGACATTAAACACTTACATTTGTGCTATATTGGAGATTAGAAGCTTTTAAAGACTTTGAGGGGAATTTATCAAAACTGGAGCAGACAAAATCTGGAGCAGCTGTCCATGGCAACCAACCAGCATCCACCTTTAATTTTCAAAGCTTAACTGAACAGACTAAAGAAATAAGCTGATTGGTTGCCATAAGCAACTGTTTCTGATTTTTGCCTGCTCCTGTCTTGATAAATTCCCCCCATTATATCCAACCATTACTTATCATGTCAGAGGTTAGCAGTGATGGAAAATAAAGATATTATAGATGTGAACGGTTCTCTTGCTCTTCTTCCCCTCTCCCCACTGCTACTTGCCTTCATTTCACTGTTCGTCTGTTGGAGCCCTCAGTATTACCCAACACTCCCGGGTATAGGGGGGCATCTTTACATATATATGTATGTATGTGTGCGTAATATAATATGTATTCAAAAATACCATGTTGAAAGAAGTAAACCAGGGTAGACCGATTAATATGGAATTCAGGGGCCAGTCTGTCCAGTCCAGAAGTCAACAGGATTTAGATTTTTTGGAACCAGCTCCATTGACACCAACTAGATAAAACCTTGAAAGTTAGGTGCCAGCTGTAAGAAGCATTGTGTAGTAAACACCTGTGGTCAAATTTAACTTGAGTTTTATGTCCGGTTGAACCAGTGCCTTGCTCTTTCACACTAATAGTCCATTCAGATCCACTTGTCAGTTTTCCAAGGGGATCTGATCGGAAACCCAGTGCAACTCTATGGGCAGACAGATGTGTCTGTGTTTCTATCCGATTGCCTAGGAGTCCGTTTAGTTAAAAAAAAAGATTTGCATCCTTTTCCCTGTTGGCCCTAAATGGACACATCTGTTTATATCCAGCTACCCTAACATGCATCCGTTCCATGCAGCTTTTTTCCTCCATCATAGGTGGAGTTCAAAAGTGACATCTGTTCATTCTGCTCTGAGTCAGTAGAGGATCAGTTCACGGAATCCCTGCTGATTGAACGGATGCCACCTGTGTAAAAGAGGCATTAGAGTCATCATTTATATACATGGGCCTTAGTTGAAATCCCTGGATACATGTACAAAAGCAGGTGTATGCTGGGAGGAAGCAGAGAGACCAGCTACAATGCTCTCTAGTTAGATAAGCGAAGCCATTCCAGTGTCTGTTGCAGGCCTTGTATGAGCTAGCTTAGGATGTATTCACATCTAGGGATCTAGTGGTGGCTGGGATGCTTTCTTGGCTATAACTAAATTAAATTAAAGTGCCTTTTGTCTGCACATGCTATTGGGCAATAGAAATGTTGAATTTGCCTTTAATTATTCCAGTACAACTCACAAAGGACAGCAGAAGCATTGAAAAGGTGAATTGTTATTTTTACAGACTTGCTTCATTTGCCTGGGCATTGTCAAATATCTTAGGTGTGTTGAAGGAGAATTATGGGGAGAATGATATACACTCACCCCATAAATAGAGCCGACGTGTGACACTGTACCTGTCACACGTCGGCTTTATTGATCCCCTCTCCATTCCTCCAGTGCTGACTGGAGGGGGCAGGTAAAATATTGTTGGGATCCCTCCTGGCTGCACCGCGGCTCTGTGATGTCATGCAATAGCCTGCTATATGCTGAGTTTTGGGTCACATGACGACGTTCGTATATGTCCTCCTGTGACCCTAAAGAGAACTATTGCAAAAACAGGTTGGGCCATAGTTCTCTTTTAGACATGTATTAAAGAAGAACTCCAGAAAGGGGGGGCTACCCCCACACTGCAAGGGTTAACTGCTTGTTTTTCTCTAGGGGCCCGGAATAAAGAAGATCTACTTGCCTGATCCATGGCCCTGCAGTGATGAGTGCTCACCTCTTTCCCCCTCTGCTGCATCTGTTTTTTTTTCCCTGGTGTTCTCACATCTAATGTAAGGATCCTGGGGAAGAAGAAGATGCTGCGGAGACTGGTCTAGCAGCCAGAAGGGTTCAGGTGAGTATATTTCTTTGAGCCCCTAGAGAAAAACGAGCAGTTAACCCCTGTGGTGCAGGGGTAGCCACACTGCAAGGGTTAACATTTTACATTTAACTATAATATAATAGGATAGGTACATTTGCTAAAAAAGCATCTGGACTGATGAGAATGATTTCACTTTTTGATTTTTCTGAAAGTCGTTGGTGTTGTGTTCTTTTTTTTTTTTCCATTTAAAATTTTTGTTTTATTGAGCAAATTAAACAAAGAAAGTACATACCATGTGATCAAACATATCACATCCCAAAAGAAAGAAAAAGAAACAAAACCAAAAACAAAAAAAAACTTCGGGTCCTTCCCTTCTTTGGGTATGACGGTTATGTGTGCTTCTAGTGTTTGGGCCGGGAGAACCGATTGGCCATGTATACCGTTGTAAGCCGAAAGAAAGTGCGTGCTAAGGGTCTCTCGGAAGGTCTTGTAATATTGTGCCGGGAAGCCGTCCGGGCCCGGACTCTTACCAGGCTTGGTTTGGGAAATGGCCAGAGCCAACTCCTCTTCCCCAATGGGCTTTTCCAAGGATTGGGCGATTGGTTCCTCTAGGGAGGGCATTTGCGATTTGTGGAGAAAGGCTTTGATGAGCGTTAGACGTGCCTCTTGTGCCCCCTCGTCACCAGGCAGGTATGAATCTAGGTTATATAGCGTCTGATAATAATTTTGGAAGCACGCCACAATGTCCGGAGGCGAGGATGCTATCGCTGTGTCGGACTTCCGGATGCCCTGAATATGTGATCGGAGGTTCTGAGCGCGGGTCGCCCTTGCCAAGAGCTTCCCGCACTTATTGCCCCCCTCATAATATATACCGTTTCTAAGAGTAAATGCCCTGCGGAGTTTAGTTTCCAACAGGTCAGACAGTTTTTTTCTCTCGGGTTTGCAGATGCTGGAGGTAAGAGGAGGGGTGGGAGTCTGGCGGTTCGGTGCCCGAGATGGAAGCAGGCATGTGAGGGGACACGGCGGTGGAAGGTCCCGCGGCCATCTTGGGAGGCCTCTCTCCGGTGGCGGAAGGCCGCTGTGTGCGGAAAATGTCCGGTATTTGCCCACTCAGCTGCGCGGTATGAGGCAGGGGTTCGAAGGTTGCAGTCTGCTGTTGCCCAATCTTCACCATCCTGGGTGGAAGAACGCGAATGGAGCTTCGTTTAGATCTCGGGTAGCCGGAGCTCAGTTAGTGTGCGGCCATTCTCCTCGAGATGCAGGCCACGCCCCTGATGTTGTGTTCTTGTACTGCAGCTACTTAGATGTTATGACTTTTTTCATTTATGTCTGCTTTACAGCTTTATTACACATGTAAGATTTCAGTAGGACATCTAACTGACAAAGATTCAAATCAAATCATTTGTATTGGGTTTTTTTTGTTCATTTCAGATAAACAGCAGAAATGTCATCTCCGTCTAATTCTCCTGCTCCTGCCACGTCCAGCGATTCACCAGTATCGCCTCAGCCCCCAAAGACCCTCAATTTACCAGCTTCCAACCCCACTAGAGATCGCTCTTCATCTCCAATCAGAGGCCATCTCATTCCCAGCCCACTCCCAACTAGACGTACAAGAACTTTTTCTGCGTGAGTAATGCTGTCATTTGCTATGTATTTTGGCTTTTACTAGTGCAGTGACCTAAATGTTTACAGCATCAACAGTTCTGGAAAACCTTTAGCAACATTTAATAAAAAATCTTATTCTTAAGCTCTAATTCTTATATACAACTACGATATATGTAGCTATCAATCAGAATTGTTAGCTATTGTTAGCAGTAGAAGATGCATTTGTTTTGGGTTATTGCACTTCAAGCAGAACTCCAGGCAAACAGATAAATACACAGATGAGATACTTACAAGCGTTCACATGCCAAGGGATTTGTCTTATTGTTCTGAGTTTTACCCAGCTTTTCTACACAGCACAATCCTGTCTGGCAGTGCAGGAGACCGGATTGTCCTCTACTGCAGTTCAATAACACTTACAGGTTTCCTCCTCATCCTATGACTGGTCAGTGAAAAGCAAAGCAGCTGACTGATGAGCTAATCCTCTGGCTTTTTGTTCTCTCCCCCATCTGCATGCTCCTTGCATTGCAACCTAAATGGCTACTTGTACTGCTCCCCCTTACCCCCCCTCCCCCCCCCGGTATAAGGCCTGCTGTACAGGGACTCCAAGAGGCTGATACCATGTCAATTTAAGAAGATACGTACACTGATTTGTATAAGAATGCAATGATGTTTTAAATAGGGATTCACCGATACCGTGTTTTCGATATCGAGTATGAGTACCAATATTTTTTTCGGTACTTGCTGATACTGAAAGTCCCATTAAGGAAGCCAGGCAGCGTGTAATGACTCGCCGCCTAGCTTCCTAATTAGCCAGGAAGCCGTCTCCATGCTCCCTTGTCATCGAGTGACGAGAGCATGGAGACTGTTTCTCCTGGCCAATCGGGAAGTTCCGGTATCCGTACCAATACTACTATAGGTATTCCTAGTTTTAAAGAATACAGGACTGCATTAATGTGTCTTTTATATCGGCTTGGAGTTCAGTCTTAAAGAGCAGGAGAAAACTAGACTAAATAGACTTTTTAGGTGTTTTTTTTCATAGCATGTAAAGTATTTGTTTGACGTTCTATGCTCCTATGCATGCTTACTTTGTGTGTCTGCAACAGTACCGCAAGAGCATCTGAAGGACCAGTCTACAAAGGAGTCTGCAAATGCTTCTCCCGCTCTAAGGGACATGGTTTCATTATACCTGAAGATGGAGGGCCTAATGTGTTTTTACATATCTCTGAGTAAGTGTTGTGACATTGCTAAAGCAGCTAAGGCATGTATTGTCCAAGTACTTATTATCGTTCATTATTATATACACAATTAAGAAACCTGGTTTTCAATCACAGCCTGACACTATTATGGCCCATCTTTACTATCCCATGATTACAATCGGAAATTGGTTTCTGGCTTCCAGTTCAGTAACGGTTATTGGGATTATTATTTAAACCTGCTTCATAATAAAAATTCTTCACTATATATCATGTGATGCATTAGTATGTAGATCTATATTTATGTCCTGTTGAGGATTTAATTCATTATTTATAGAGCATTAAATCATTTTGTTGGTCATTTCTGTATGTACATTATATGTGGATTAGAATTCATTGCCGGCCAGCTCCCATGAGTGATGCTGCCTCTTTTATAATATAAAATTATACTGCATTTTTTTAACTAGTATTATTATATATGTGTTTGGTGCATTTCTGAATCGGTTATTCCCATGATGCTAAAAGCCAGAAAATCTACTTCTCGCAGGGTCTATCACTGTACGTGGAAAGCATGATTCACTTGGTGCAAAGCATGAGGCTTCTAGCCTAGGAAATGTTGGCCCTCAGTACCATCAAGGAGGCAGGTGCCTGATCTGGCAGCCTTATCTTGTACAGAACCCTTTCTCGTCTTACACTAGGACAAAGGTGGTGTTTAGTCCAGAATTTAATTCTTCTGTCCCTCTCTCCGACTCCAGTTCATCAGATGGAGATTTTGCTCCATTGTCTGGGTGTGGTCCAGACTGAGATCTGCTTTTCAGGTGGTCTCCGTAAAGGTGAACCAGCTTCTTACACCATTTTTCGTTGGCTGAGACGGGGACATTGTTCGAGTTTGAGCTCAAGGATCGGGTTCCAACCTTTCCTGTTTCCTGTGTCTCTGAATGGACAAGAAAAAAAATTGCATATTTGTACTCGCCATAAAAACAGTTTCTTGGAGTCCATTGAGGGACACAGATGCAAGCCCTGTGTTTTATGATCATGCGTTTCGTACTACTTTTCTACAAAACTGAGGCTTATCCTGGGGTATGCTACAATTTTGTTTTCCAGTGTCCTATCATCCTGTAGGCACAGTATAACCCAACAGTGATGACTTCCTTTGTCCCTTTTTATAGACTCCATAAAAAGGATTTTATGGTGAGCTGAAAAATCCTATTTTTATAGGCACTGTACTATAATGTACACTATAGGCACTATATATACTATACTATATATAGTTTATTTACTTGCCAACAGCAACTAGCATTCTTTTAGTGAATATTCAGATGTAACCATTTTATTCTGGAGCCCATGATAGTCAAAGCATAATGTTTGTGCCTGCTAGTTAGAATGTGACAATTCCCCGCAGAAACTTTCCCACGCAAGTTGCACTATTGGTATCTTTTCCTCCTTGTAATTCATACAAGGTTCCAGCATATCATGTCTGCTGGCCCTCAGATAATTAGTGTTCTCTTTTGCCTGTGGTCTAATAGGCATCTCACCTAACCTATTTAAAGAGATATCTTAATGGTTTGGGATCAATTTATTTTTTCTTCAGGTTTGCATTTTTTAAATTCATGTTTTTACCTGGTTAGATTGTTAAAAAAAATACCCCTGGAAAAACAGGTTGCACAGTGCAGACGAGGAGAAGGGGGAGAGGCTTTTTTTTTCCCCCTTTCAGAACAGCAGCTTAGGGTAGGCTGGAAAGCATGTGACAAAGGAACCTGAAGTTTATATGCACTATTTCTTATTTATCTCACTATAAACAAGTGACCGTTTTTTTTTCCTTATCATAAAATGTGGGAAATCTGGAGTGCTCCAACAATTAGTCTTTTACAAGTCCGCATATCCTGGCTGTATGGGTGGTGGTACTTGATGAAACCTGTATGTGTTCCTCAACTGAGACATATGGTTTCCCATTTGTGTACTAGGTAGACCTGCTTTTCAACTATTTCAAAAACCTTTCATTTGCTTGGCAGTGATGCTGAACACCCTAAGGCACCTCTGATTTGCTTTTCTTCTTTTTTTTCTTTTCTTACACCAGTATTGAAGGAGAATATGTCCCTGTGGAAGGAGATGAAGTCACGTACAAGCTTTGCACCATTCCACCCAAACATGAGAAACGTCAAGCTGTAGAAGTTGTAATCACCCATTTAGCTCCAGGAACAAAGCATGAGACATGGTCTGGGCGTATTATCGATTCCTAAATGTTTAACTCGCATCAACTGCTACTGACATGCCTTTGTAGTTTTATTTTTTTATGTTCATATTTGTTACTATTCTTTAACATCATAAATTACCGAATAAAATGGCAACTGCTAAAAGGGTTATAGTGGGGTCCAAAAAGTTTTCTGTTGGTCTCAAACTATATCTTTAATGTCATCGCTATCATCTGATTTGTAAAACCAGGTGATAAAGATAACTACTGAAGTTTGAGTCATTTACAATTATTGCACATTATTTGCAGGGATTTATCTAATTCAGAAGCTTGTTTGGCACTAAAATGAGGAGTAGAGATTGTTGTCATTCACCTACAGTGCTGCAGGTATATTTTCATCTGGGCGCCATACTGGTTACATACCTCTTTACTTACTATGTACTAGCATCTTTTGCAAAGGACTAAAATATATTTTAGCACTGAATGTTCTAAATTCAGCACACAATAATAGTAAAGCAATAGTCCATTTAATGACACATTGCCATTCGATGCTGAATGGCAATATGTAATTAAATGGACTATTGCTTTACTACTATGTTGTGCTGGTGACATTATTTCTTCATATTTTTTTTTTAAAGAACCCCATGTGTCTGAGGGGAGCAGTTTGCATGTGGGGATATTTTATCATTTTAGTCATGTTATGGAAATTCACTTGGTTCAACGCACAAATCCATGTCGCATTAAGCTGTGCCAAACGCAAAGAATTTCCCCCGTTGTACTACGCTCTTTTATGCAAGGACTGGAAGTATCCCTTTCCATAGAGTCATGCAGAGTCAGGAGACAGATGCTGCTTGCTTGATAATCCCATGCTTAGAGCCCTGAGCGCAGGTATGTTTATTGTTTTATACCTGCCCAACAGGAAGTGATGTCAGACAGGAAGGGGTGTCTCAAACAGCGAGACAGGAAGTGATGGAAAAACCAACAGATGATTTCAACAACCAGCAAACCAGGAAGTGATGTTAACAAGCACTTCCTCAATACATAGCCAGTCTACAAAACACATTAGTAGAACAATCACATGTAGTAGAATAATCTATGACCACCGGAGTGACTTTATCCAGCATTGCTCAGTGATCAATGCCACATAACGTTACTATGATTCTCATGCGCGCTCATTCACAGGGATAACGTTATATTATCTCAAGCGTGTTGATCAGGCACACCAGAGAGAACAAACGCACATTCCTTTCATATACTGTGTTCCAAACAAATGTATCCACGCAAGCCAATAAATCCATGCATTGCACGGGGGGGCCCCAGCCGGCGGCCATACATTCGCCAAGAAGACACTGCTCTGCCGCGCATAAGATATCTCCTCCAATGGATTAACCCTCCAGCGTCTATTTAAACCGAGACACTGAGAGACTAATGACAAAACATTACAATACACTAAAAAACACATCCTAGTAAAATTTCCACAACATATCATTTACGACAATGAACTTGCTACAACACACAATTCTGCTGCAATATGCTACTGATTTATTAATCTAGTGTTATATGTGTTCATGAATGCGTAATGCAAAAGTAGGTCGCAAGTTTGCCACAAGTGTAGTCAGTGGTTGCACTTAGCTTTTAGAAGGGTCCGCTGCTGAGAGAGAGTGATTTATGAGAGATTATTTGTGAGATTAGGGGAGGAGGAGGAGGTAGAGAAGGGGGGCAACAAAGAGACACATTAAGGAGGGTGGGAGTGACGAGAGAAGATTTGTATTATGTAGATTACAGGAGGGAGTCAGAAAAGTTTTATGAAAGAGTGTTAAACAGTGAAGAGATTATTTATTTATGAGAGGCACAGACACAATGGAGAAGGAGGATTTCTGACAAGGAGAGGAAACAAATAATGGACAGGGAATATTTATGGTAGGGGAAACATTACAAACAGGGAAGATTGATGAGAGGTGGAAAAACATAGCAGGGGGAAAAGACTTGAGGTGGGTAGACACGGTTAGTGAACATTTTAGACAGTGGGCAACAAAACAAGGAGTAGAGGACAATGACAGAGAAGGACAGCGCATGGGGGATGAATTGTGAGGGCATGGAATATTAAAGCAAATAAAACAACTTTGTAACCCTGCTCATTTATCACCCCATCGATGTATGTCACAATCCCTTACAATTCCTCCATCCTAATATATCAGACTTATACCTTCCACCTCCACTGCTCTTACTGAAAACAATCTTCTTTGTAGCCTTTGATCTATCAATGAGCTCTTAATCCAGTCACTGGCAACTATTAACAATAGCAAGAATCAAATGCAGTCAATATCTCCTCTTGTGTGTCAGTGCACAGTTCACAGCTTCTCTGCAATATCATAGAAAACAAAAGGGAACCGAGCGCCACCTCCGTGTGTAAAATCGTTTATTAGGATAAATAAAACAAGGGATAAATGTATTCACAAGCAAACGTTTTCATCAGGCTTTAACAACAAACAAGAGGCCACACTGTCTGGTATCACCCTGACTGTACCACGGTTGCCTCCGGTCACATCACCGCCCACCGGCCGCAGTCAGCCGAGATTGACGTGTTTCAGGGGCAAGCCCCCTTTATCAGACGGGGCGATTATTCATATACAGGTTAGTGCCATTCACTAACACTGAAAGGATTTTTGTGGGCTGGTCTAATGACCTCTTTGATGTTAAACTAAACAGGTTTTGACAAAATTCCCTACAGCTGTTCCTTTGTGTACAATCAACACCCTGAAAACAGGATGGTCAACTGGTCAAGAAACGTACGCAGTAAAAACCTAGTTAGCATAGGTATGTTAAATAACATCGGCAAAAAGAATTTCCTTCAATACATAAGCATACACCCTAAGGGCCTGTTCACACGACGTCCGTTTTCTGTGCTGACCTGATCCGTACGCTCCTGCACTAAATATGCATCCCTATGTGTTTTATGGGCTACAGTTCTCACGTGCGCAGTCCGTTCAGGTTACGACAGAAAAAATACTGCATGTCACATTTTGTACGGTCTGGAAAATGCAAAATGCAGCAAAAACGCACTGCATCAGTAGCACCGCGTCTGCAGATCCGGACCTGATATCATGTGAACAGGCCCTAAATATACCCCTAATATATCTACTTCAATCATAATTTATACTAGTAAGGAGCTGAATCCATTGCTTTACTCAGTCCTGAAGAGGTTGACATTAGTTATGTAGAGCTTAGCAATGTTTAGGGAGTTATTGTGCTCTAACTGTACCCACAATGTTTTCAGGTACAATGTCAACTTTTAACTCCTTTGTAATATCTTCAAGATGTACCGTAGTTATCACTGGCTTTTTCCCTTCATTTTACTGTTTGCTGACATCTTATCCTCTATGCCTCTAATAGGAGGAGGCGGTAGGAATGGGGTCATTGTTTGTTTTTCATTTTATTCAACTTCAAAGATGTTTTTCTAGCACAGAAAAAGGAGCAAATTTATCAAGGCAATCCTCATAAATGAAACTGATATCCCTCTCTGTGTTCAGTAAAAGAAGTCATTTTACAAAATTCTGACAATTCTAACTTTGGAAATAAGAGAATAAAAAAATACTTGACATACTTCAACAGAGGTTTGTATATGCAGCAGGCCGCAATTTATGGTCATACAAAATCCTAAGTAAGATGTTTTCCACATGCTGTATGCTTCTCATCAGTAGTTTTGGATCACTTTCTATGAAACTAGTTACACTTTTGCAGCCAAATTGGCATAACACCTATTTTATATATGCTACATGTTATCAGTCACATAGAGTAACTTATATTATTAAAATATTTTTTTTAAGGGGTGGGGGGCGTTAATCTGTGAATAAATACTCCTGTCTGTACTGTGCTAGCAAATCTCTATCAGTTGTAAACTAGTAAGGTTATTCAGGAAAGGGTGAAGAGTTTGGAGAAGTGAACAATCTAGGACAGTGGTGGTGAACCTTGGCACTCCAGCTGTGCCAAAACGACAAATCCCAACATGCATCTGCCTCTGGGAGTTTTGTCTATGGCTGTCAGAGCCTTGCAATGCCTCATGGGACTTGTAGTTCCAAAACAGCTGGAGTGCCAAGGTTCGCCACCACTGATCTAGGACAACATAGCTGAATTGGAGATTTTTTTTTTCCAGTTAAGCTATTTTGGCCTAGATCAGGGGTAGGCAACCTTGGCTCTCCAGCTGTGCTGAAACTACAAATCCCATCACGCTTCTGCCTCTGGGAGTCATGCCTGTGGCCTGCAATGACTTATGGGATTTGTAGTTTCAACACAGCTGGAGAGCCGAGGTTGTTCACTTGATTGTTCACCGGCCTAGATTGTTTACTTCTCCTGCCTTCTCCAAACTCTTCACCCTTTCCTGAGTCTCCAAACTCTTCACCCTTTCCTGAGTCTCCAAACTCTTCACCCTTTCCTGAGTATTCCTGTAGATGTTTACACTGTCCTAACAAAGGGTTAAACATTATAAACCTTTTTATGTTATGTTAAAGAGAGGAAGAGAAGAGTGTCCCCAGTCTTTCTGTGGTGACACACAGTTTCCTGACATTTTAAAAATAATACAGAGGATCCAAAGACCAGCTCCACAGACCCTTCTAAAAGGTAGGACATATTTATAAAAAAAAGAATTGTAGGTATGTTGGGTGACTAGGAACACATGGCAATTGAAGTTTTTGTCATATTTGTCTGCAAAACTGGAAATACACTGCAAGTTGAAGAATATGCACTAAGTCAACTACTACAGTTTGCAAAGGTTCTGTTGGAATGTCACAGTTTGATCTGACTAAACTGTTAGGGGTTTAAAGAAGAACTCCAGGGAAAAGAAATATTTACCTTTGCAGTGCGGGGGTAGCTCCACTGCAAAGGGTGAAGACATTTTTTTCCTGGAACACTGCTCATGTTTGGCTATTTTAAACCCCCACCAAAAAAGGGTTATACTCACCCGATGCTCCGAGCCAGCTTGTTCTTAGACCGGTCCTTCCACCTTCTCTGCAGCGGTTTAATGTCCCATAAATCATCACTACTTTACCCAGTGTATAGACGTGAGGACACTGAGGAACATTCTGATGCTGCAGAGGAGGAGACTGGCTGGAGGGAGCGCTGTGATGGCTGGCTCGGAGCTCCGGGCGAGTATAACTGTGTTAGACACAAACAGGCACTTAACCCTTGCAGTGCAGGGGTAGCCCCACTGCGAGGGTTCAGAAAAAGTTTTCTTCTTTAAAATATGTAGAACTGCCACCATTTTTAGTACAGAAGTGAGTGTTTTATCTCAAAGTCAATTAAGATTGACTGTGCCAAAAGGGTTGAGTCAGTTATTGAAATTACTTTAGGCCAGGGGCCTCAAACTCAATTTACTCCAGGGCCACTGATGTACATTTTTTTTTTTTTAGTACCATGGGGGCCTTTTGGCAAATGGCATGCTTCAACATAAAATGTAACTATATACGTTACCAGTGTAAATGTCTGCGCATACCGTGTTTCCCCGAAAGTAAGACCTAGCGCTATCTTCGGGGATTTCTGTAATATAAGACCTACCCCGAAAATAAGACCTAGTTCGGTGGTAGGTCTTATATTACAGAAATCCGCTAGGTCTTACTTTCGGGGTAGCGGCACATAAACTGAATTTTGAATCTAAAGATCGGCCGCAGCTCCCGCCCCGCCCACATGCCAGACGCAGCTCCCGCCTACACGCCCGACGGCCGCAGCTCCCGCCCGCACGCACGATGGAAGCGGAGTATCATCCGCCGGGACCGGCAACAGCACGCTGCCTTCCGGGACCTCGTCCGGTCCTCCCAGCCAGGTAAGACATCCCCCGAAAATAAGACCTAGTGTCTTATTTCATGCAAAAAAATAAATAAAGACACTGTCTTATTTTCGGGGAAACACTGTCTTATTTTCGGGGAAACACGGTATTACAACTGGCACCCATTCAAATTGATGATCAGGTGACAACAACTGCATGTAAACTCCTGCACACCGCATGGTATGTAATATTACATGCTGTTAGCAATCAATCATCTGGGATCATGCATTCAGGGAGAGCGATTGTCTTCTAACTGCATGTAATCATATCACATATTATTATATATATTATCACCTGATCATTAACTTGAATGGGTTTTTATGGTAGAGAGGAAAAGCTGGCTGCTTGTAAACGCCAGATTAGGGATTTCTGCTGCAGGAAAAAGCTCTTGAATCAATGAAACAATACACTTCCCCCTGTTCCAAGCTCCCCCCCTCCACACAAAAAATATACCTCCCCCCAAACTGCTTACATCTTTTGCAGGGAGGAGGCATGGTCCCTGGTGATCCAGTGGTTGATTAGTAAGGTCTGTTTCAGACATTACTAATCCATCCTTTCGGCCAGAGCCTAGGAGCGCCAGCCTCAAGAAACTAGCGAGTGCTGTAGCTGACAGGAGCAGGATGCAGACCATGTAGCTGCTTCTGCAAGTCAGGTACGCAGTCTGTTGCGGGCCAGTACTTTGAGACCTCTGCTTTAGGCTTTTCTGGTGCACTTATTAAAGGAGCTTGCTACCCAAATTCCAGCATTGCCAGTCCAGATGGGTTACTGAGCCCAAAAATATATTATACCATTCTTTCTGTGCCACAGGATAGTGTTGATTTTCAATCATTAATTTATTGAAATTACTTTAGAAGTACACGTCCAAAACTGACTGACCCACAAATACATTATAGCAGTTAGGCTCACACCTATCCATGTCTGCTTTTTTGTGCCTCATTTTTCAAAATGCAACACAGCACAAAGATATGTAAATGTGTTCCTATGCCACAACCATTGTTTTGTGTTCTGAAGCGCACACTAAATTGCGAAGGTTAACGGGGCCTTACTGTATTACAGAGTCTGCATATGTGGAAAATGGTGACGGGTCAAACATGGCTGAGTTCGTTCGATTCCTGGGAGGTTTACTTGCTTCAAAATAGTCCACAAATTGTGAACCCCAATGAGAGGGAAGTCTTGCAAAGCAAGTGTGGCAAGCGTGCACAAGTGTGAAAGAGGGGGGGGGGGGGGGGGGGGGTAAAGCTCTATGGCAGCTGTGTGGTTTAGCCACTAGGTGAAGCTATCCCTTTTTTTGTTTTAGAAGTCAATCTCAATCCTCCTATACACAGCGTAATGCCCAGTGGCCTTTTATTTACAGCAATGTGTCCCCTTTCCTGGGTGCAAGTCTTGGACGCTTAAGGCCTCGTTCACACCTGAACGTTTTGTAGCACGTTCTACGCTCGACGAACGCTCTACAAAACGCTCAAACATCTAAATCCCATTGTATTCAATGGGTCTGGTTCACACCTTGGCGTATTTCAGCCCGTCCCTAACGCGCTACAAAACGGCCCACGCCTGAAAAGGTACATGTACTACTTTGGGCCGTTTTTGTTGCGCGTTTCCATTGGGATACAGCCAAGTAGCCCTGGGAAACGCGCGTTTGTCGCACAATTTTTTTACTGCGAGTCGCGGTAAAAAAAAACGTGCGACAGATGCGCATATGCAATACGCCTAGGTGTGAACCAGCTCTAATAAAGCATGCCTGTGTTTCGAACAATAAATTGTCTCCTTATATGTTGCATATATGCTTGTTTGCTATAGATAAGGGCATATCACTCTTTGCAGCAAAAACAGAACATGCGGTTTATGAAAATTTGCATTATTTATTACATTTAGTCTTTCTGCCATAAATCATTTATATTCAATACAGACATATCAAAGTTGACCTACAGCAAAGATGTAACCTGTAAACATCAGTTAGCTGTTTAAATATCAGTGCTGATATTAGCAAGAGAATAACTAACTTTCTTCAGGAATAGATTGCTGACATTTCCAAGAAAACAGAACTAAATTAAATGTAAAACAGGCTGTAAAAACAACAGGCCATACATTGGGGTTGTACTGCTGGATGGACTATTGTGAACACACGCATTGCCTATAGAAATATTAAATGCACAATTTAAAAGATGTAAATTGATCAAAATATTATGGAGGTATGAAGAAGATCTGTGAATTGCACAGTTTAAAGCATTGTTAGTAAGCACAAAGCGGGTACTAAGAGGTACCTTCTAGCACTCCCCATAAGCTTCAAAAACCAGGACCGAGCTCCAAAGCCTGAGTTTGGTGTTGCCACATGACACCCACAATTTGGAGGCCCCCATGGTGCTAAGGAAGAACTGCAGACCTGCCAGCATCTATACAAAATTAAAATATCATTTTTGGATGGTGTCAAGTGTTTTTGTTATGCAGCCTTGAGTAACATTTTTGCCTTTAGCACTTTGCACAGAAGTAGCGGTCTAAAATTTAAAAACTGTTATTTCAGAATCCATCCCCAATATAGGAAACTTTTGAATGAGATCTAGAATACAGATAACAGTTATTAGGTTAATCTCCGCCCTAATGCCGATTCAAAGTGCAATGAAATTTAAATACTATGAACCCATCACCCTTCATTTTATCTTGTAGTATCTCTTCAAACCCCTAATAAAAAGGTTGTCATGTCAGGTAGCTAGTATTCTTGAACAAATTTCCTTTACACAAGTCTACTGAAAGAATAATTCTTCACAGATTCTTCTGGTGTCTTCAGGAGATGCCACAGAATGACCTATTGTTCTGGGGTCTATATAGATTTCATAATCGTTTCCACCCTGTGGGAGAGGGAAATAGGAGAGAATGACTTCTTTTCTGGAAGTACCTTTTCATTGCTGTGCAGACTGATTTTACAATCAAGTCCCAGCCAGACATTTTATCCCAAGCTGAATAAAAGCATACAATGAACTTTCATTTAGTTTGCATGTTTCAATAACAAATGCACAAATTATTTTTATTTTATGCAATATAGAACTTTTATCAAAATAAAACTCCCAATATCTATATATATATATAAAAAAAAAAAGTGACCAAAATCAACTTAATAAGCAAGATCAGCTCAATATTGTGTTTACGTGTAAAAGCATGAAAGTTACAGATGCACATCATTGCAAATAACTTATGTTGCATTAAAAACCTTACCACACATCAATTTAGGGTCCAACAACTATGGTATCCCTAGTTCCCCTATGTAGCACAAATGGAGTCTATGTACTTTTGCATGTTGGATTATTTTTTATATACATTTTACTCTAAAACTTTATTACTGTGAATTGCAGTTTAAAGCCCAATTTTGGTGTCATCCGCAAACACGGAAATATGGCTGTTAACACCCTCCCCGATGTCATTAATAAATAAGTTGAACATTATGGGACCCAGCACAGAACCCTGAGGCACACCGCTCATTACACTAGCCCAGTCTGAAAAGGTGCCATTTACAGATATACATTTAGATTATTTTTTACATAAATGCAAACACCCCCCCCCCTTCTCCCACCTCTGTCCCTCCTAAACAGGTTATACCCCTCTATATTAGTAGCCCAGTCATGCGTGCTGTCCAGCCAGTAAGATTTAACTCCTGAGTTTAGTATCACTTTAAGATACCTCAAACAAAAACACATTTCTTAGCATTCAAAAATTATTGTGAACACTCACCGGCATGGTTTTGTCACCAAAGAAGTAAATTTTGGAAAATCCTTCCTTTTCAAGAATTCCTAGACAGTAGGTTTTGTCCCAGCCATTAGGAAACACATCAAAGCTGATCTGTCCACCTGTTTATGAGAAAACAGTTTTTAAACAAATATAGAAACCCTGTTAAAAACAAATTCCCCTAACGCTTCTCTAAGCCATGGGTGGTAAGGTAGAGGGGTGCAGGCAACCATGGACTGGCTCTAAATTAAGACATACAAGTACGAGAAGACACAGGATTTTCTTATTCTTACGCACCAACTAAAAGCCACATGTATGCATATGCTTTCATTTTTTTGTTTTTTTTTAATCTGACTGTCTCACAATACAGCGGGGCCAGTTGTCTGTTGCTGAACTTGTCAGACAGGAACAGGGCTAAATATTAGGAATGTGCAACGATTTTATACAAAATTCTCACTTCTTATTTTCCTAAATGAAAAAAATATGAAACATTAATATTTTGTACTGTCCTTTCAGCCAGCAGAAACAGCCTAAAGCTGCTCACAGAGCGCAATAGCTCAAGCTGAAATATTCACACTCCAATGAATAAATCTGTGAAGAAGTTGGCTATTAAAGCTTCATGTGAATATTTCTACTGAATGGGAGTGTTGACCTTCATTGCCCCCCATACCCTAAATGTTTCATTCGTAAGTTTAATATGAATCCTTTTATCCAGGGACCGCTAATGACGTCACAAATTTCTGCCATACATTACCTATTGAAAACGTTAGACCCTTCCCTTGAAATTCTTTCCGTAATTCCGCAACAAATTTGTCTCTAAATTGTTCCTTCTGTGAAGACAGAACGTAATAGCTGTGTAAATTACACCCAGGGATGCATATATACATACTGATATAAAGTAGTAAATACATTGTAAAATAAAAAGGGACTGACAAAAAGGAAGGCAAGCACTCAAAGCTAAATCAGGGTCTACTACAGTGCATATGTGTCAACAATTAACATGTGGACAAAAGGAGAGAGCACTGTTAACACTGAACAATGTTGCTGCACATTTACAGTCCAATTAGCAGGTCAAGGCACTGAAATGGCAGGGATATATGGATCACAACTGCCTGAGAATCAGGGCAGGTAAAAAGTTACCATACATGAATTTCAACAGAGTATTTGGCTACTTGCTTGCAGCTCAGCATTAACCCAAAAATCTCTGCAGGCAGAGGAATAAATGGAGATTGGAGGAGAGCTGGACTGACCACAGAAAAAAACATGGAAACGGACATCCCTAATTTCTACCATTGCCCTTTATATGGAGTTATGACAGGATCTCTTACTGCTCCTACAAAATCACACATTTACACAAATGGAAAAGTAGCAAGACTTCACTGCAACAATGGTCAGGCTTGGTAATGTTGCCAGGATGAGGTGAAATTTCATAAATGCACAGTAGTGAAGTTCATGATGTTAGCAGTAGACCTCAGACATTGTCAGAATTGTCCTTTATGTGAATCAGGGTATCAGACTTTACTTACTGCAGCACTAAGCAGAGAGAAAAGTTCAGTAGTAGGGAGCTAGAGTCAGGATCTTAGATTAGTAGCCATGTGTAGTGGTTGCAGATCATGTGGTCAAAAGTCACTGATTGTTGGGTGCTGTAGCATTATGATGGACAGCACAATTTCAAGTCACAAAATATCTTTATATCAATATCACTGGCACCACAGATTACCAACATTTTGGGGCCACAAATAGGTCAGTACTTTGAAGTAGATCTAAAACAATTTTCTTGAACCAAGGATGGTTTGCTGGCTAAGAATTTTGTTGGCTCCAATAGTATGTCAATTGCACTCAGAGTCCTTCTGACATGACTTGAAAGCAAGGAGAGCTTAGAAGTTCGGGAGGGAAAAGCCGACCTGAGGTGTGCCATGGTTGAAATGGTCAGTATGCCTAAAAGGGGGCAAAAGAGTCAATAGAGAAGAATTAAGCTTAAACACTATGAACTTCGCACACCAATCTTGCAAAAGCTTGTGCCATCTCCAATTGTGGATCAGGAACATATCGAGTATAACAAGAAGAATACCACTTGCCCAGATGGCCCTGAAAGTTAATAAACACGGACTGGAACCCCTTGACTAGATGCCGCAGAGGCTGCTCTGATCCTAAAGGAATGATCTGAAACTGAGCAGGATTGAGCCTGATGTTAACAAGAAAGATGCACACGCTTGACAAATTGGGCAGAACTAAGCGGGGCAACCGAGAACGGTAATATCTGGAGGTGCATGAGCAATGGCGGCTAACAACTGGCCCAGTACCCTCACTGGACACCATGAATTACTAGTCTCGAAGTATTTAATTTCCACCACCTGACCAGACTGCTGAGTCGTGGACCGTTCCAGGCGTAAACTGGAATGGCTAGGGTAACACGACAGATGTTTCTTAGTAAGAACCGTTGCATGCACTTTGTTGTAGAGATAACCACACTAAATGCCTAAGGAAAGACATGATGATTAATGATTAAGATCTTCCTTTGTTAATGGATTGCTGCTCCTGCGATTATCCATGTAAATTACTACTGTAAGACCTGCCCAAAATGAGCACCATACTAGTGCTGCTGCCCCGATAGGATAGATTTCAAATAGAGAGGAGGTCTGGGAAACTTCGGTATCTGGGAGAACTTCTTCAGGTGCAGCTAGCCAATGGGGGCCCCCCAAAAATAGCTGGAAAACCTAAAGATGCCATAGCATCCATAGATACACAAGGCGATCGGGCAGACACCTGAGGGATAAACATGGAAATACCATTCCAATTGCAGAGGAATTGATCCCAAATGACTAAAAATCAACCTGAGCACTGGGGTCTAAGAGAATGAAGGACTCCGCATCCGGAGCGGAAGACCAGTCGGGCAACACTTTTTAGTATGTTTAGGTTCACAGAAAGGTTCTAAACGCTGTATTAACCCCTTCATGACTGAGCTTATTTTCAGTTTCCGTTTATAAATGACGGATACTTTTTACATTTTTGCTGTGCGAGTCTTCCACAGCAGTAATATACTTTCTTACTAAATGTACCCACTCATATTATATATTGTTTTTTAGAGGACAGATAGGGCTATATAATTATATCAAACATGTGTACTTAACGCCTCACTTAGTTTGAATAAAATATTTAAAAAAAATAAGGAAAACCCCCCCTAAATACAGGGTGGGGGATTAAATTGTGCAGGACTCCTCCCACAAATCCAGGCCAGCCTTTAAAACGTATCTCTTCCTGGGTATCCAAATAATACAAGAAGCTAGCAGGTTCAATAACCCACCAGTATTATCCCATAATGGAGACTCAGTTTTATGTAGTACAAAATGAAGATTTTTCTTAAACCAACTGTCAACAACTCTGTTACAAAATTATTAAATGAATGTAAATATTACTGGATAAAATCTGTGCAAATATGTTTAGGGTTTTCAAACCTTAATGTGACAGCTACAGAATAAGATTTGTAGCAATAAAAAAAACAAAAAAACATTCTGACAACATGATCCACCTACTTTATCCAGTTCGAAGAACTCTATACGCTCCTCCTGGGTGCAGTTTCTTCCAATGGGAGAGACATTCAGCATTCCATTTCTAAACTCAATAAAAGTGCCCCTGAAATCACAGATACATCTCTGGTAAGTATGTCATTTCTTTCATTTTTCATTACCCACTTAAAACCGCGGTGTTAAACCCCCTTCCTGCCCAGGCCATTTTTCAGTATTCATGCAACTTCTATTCCTTCATGCAATGCCGCACTGAAATTAATTTTATAAAAGATTTTGGAGACAGATAGAGCTTTCTTTTGGTGATATTTAAATCACCACTGGGGGGTTTATTTTTTACTATATAACAAAAAAAGTACCGAACATTTTGAAAAACAAAAAACAAAATTTCCCTATGAAATGTTATGAAACATTTATTATCACCATATTTTTTTGGTAAAATATAAAAGACGGGGTCATTTCAGGTAAATAGACACCAAACATGTCAAGCTTTAAAATTGTGCGTACCCACAAAATGGCATACCTAAAATTGGCCATAGGTGATGCTTTAAAAGCTTTTACCGCTCATCAGTTTAGTGTTAACAATTATGCATAGCCCTTGAATTATTACTCTCACTCCGACGTTTGCTGTGATGTGTAATATGTGCAGCACAGTGGGCGCAATCGCCGTTTTCGCATTTAGGCGCACTTGATGAATGTTTACACACCTACATAGTGATCGAGCGCCTCTACAGACGCCGGAACACTTGTATATAAACAGCCATCAGCGGCTGTTTACATTTGATGTAGTTTTCCCACGCGTGTGCAGTCCACAGCACCACGCACGAGTGGGGGGGGGGGCATCTTTAAATGCCTACTCACTAATGAAGAATTCACCTTGAGGGGAACCAATCACTTTCCGTCCCCTTCTTAGCTATACAAAAGAAAATAAATGTATATATATTATACACACACAACATTCTCTTTAAAAAGTATTAACCCCTTCATGACTGCGCTTGTTTTTAGTTTCTGCTCGTAAATGACTGACACACTTTTGACATTTTTGCTGTTGCAATAAATACATTCATTTATTTGTCCTTTATTTTTTTACACTTTTTTTTTCTTTACACTTTTCACTATTTTTTAACTTTTAAAATTTTTATTTTTATTTAATTATATGAAGCAGTCATTGTGAATTAATTTCACTATTACTGCTTGATAAATTAATACATTTTTGGTTATTATCAGGCTGCTTCAAACTTCAGAACAGCCGATAATAAGTTAGTGACACTGATCCTGCAGCAGTTCAGGATTCAGCTGTCACTAAAGGTTTTCTGATTGTTGCAACAACGATCAGCAAACTGCAGCATTCTTCTTCCAGGAATAGATACATTATGTATCTATTCCTGAATTCCTCCATGTCAGGATAGATACATTATGTATCTATTGCTGAAAGTGAAAGGAAAAAAAAAAAAAGCCAGTATACGATCGAGAGAGAAATCTCTAGATGTATACGAGCTGTCAGAATGCCGGCATGTGTGTCCGCTCTACTTTGACTCTCAGACACCCGATATTAAAGGTATCAGGTGTCTGAAAAAGGTTAACCCTTTCATTAATGAATGCCTCTGTACTAAGGGCACCCATTAATGAATGGTAAAAGCTGATTCTCAGCGATTAACAGCCCTCTAAAGCAGCAAATAACTCGTCACGTACATTGTACGTGACGAGTCATTTGGTCCCTTTGTGGCTGGACGTACAGTGTATGTCTCCTGTCACGAAGGGGTTAATATTACTATCAGAAATATTGTTGTTGCAGCTTATAGCTCTATCCTAAAGAGGCACTCTGGGCAAAACTTTTATTAACCCCTGCAGTGGGGCTACCCCCACACTGCAAACTGCTCATTTTTGTCTAGGGGCTAAAATAATAATAATGAAAACAAAAAAAAAAAGTTATACTCAATCGATCCTTGAAACCAGCCACCCAGCTGTCACAGTGCTCCCTCCAACCTGTCCCCTCCTGCACTGCAGCAGTGGTATGTTCATTGGCATCACAGTGTATAGAACCGTGATGACTCGAGGACCCTTTGACCACTGCAGAGAAGGGCGAGAGGTTGGAAGGACTGGTCAAAGACCAAGTTGGCTCGGAGGATCGGGTAAGTATAACTTATTTTAGCACTTCGATAAAAACGAGCAGTTAACCCTTGCAGTGCAGGGTAGAGAAAAATCACAGGTTTTATTGTAAAGTTTGTGCTTTTATTTTACTTGATTAGTTTAAACAGTGTATTTCTACTGCTTACAACATCTGCATCAGCTTGGAAGGGAAGGACATAACTGAAATACACAGTAATAGAGACAGAGAGACAGACACATATACATGCATACATATCCCCAAGGCCAACATTTGTGCATTCACAGATTTCAATCTATTCAGAGAAATGTTACTTTGAAGCACCTTTTCTTTGGTAGTTTAAGTTTGGCGATGTATCCTAGGCAGTAATTGATGAGATCTTGCAACAAATCTTCTCCCAAGTGTGCATGAATGCTCTGTAAAAAAAACAACAACAAAAAAACACTTACTTATTTTATTATATCCATAAAGAAAAAAAAACAAAAAAAAAAAAACAACAACTTCAGAATAACATTTCAAAAGAATGCCTACAGTAATTTTATGAATAAAAAATCTCTATACATTGCAGTTTACCAAAAAACATACAGAGATGTTTGATAAATAACTTAAACCATGGCAAACTAAAGAGTTTACCTCCTATTACAATTTAAGCAATTTTTTGCTTTTGAAAAATATATATTGAAAACTGGAGATATCAGCCAGAACGTGCTGCTGAAAATGTATTATGAATGATTACTTCTGTGTAGGGCCAGAAGTATGTAGAATAAATATGAATGATCCAGTTACCCATATACAAGTCACCAGGTAACAGAAGTATCTTCATTTGGATCCTGTTAGAACAATCTTATAGCTACTAAAATGCATTTGGCTAAAAATCTTGATGCTGCTTTGGTAATTGCTGCCTCTTGTCAGAGTTTGCTCAATCCTTGACTTCGAATGTTAATTCCTCTTACGTCAATAATGATTGCAACAGCCATACTCAGCAAAAGGAGCTTTCCAGTAGAATTATACAGTGTATTAACTAAGAATTGGGTGTTTTACAGACTGCACCCCATTTTCCACAACAGAGGTCTTAGCCCTTTGTCGGGGAACTATTGGCTCATATCTGGTATACACAAAGCTTTATATAAAAAGGCAGAAGACTGGAAGACACCTGGCTACATGACACACTAGTAAATAAAGTCAAAACAGTGCTGCTCACTTATTCAAAATAATAATAAATTGTCTGAAAACACAACACTGACCTGTTTGCATAGAAACTGTCCATCCTTGTATGCGACAAGACCATTTTCAGGAAACACATAATCAAACGTTTCAACCACTGAAATTACATTAAATGTTTTCATGAACTTTGATGTAAACAAAAAAAAAAAAAAAAAGCCAACCTTTTCAATAAGGTATATTTGTATTACTGCACAGACAATCCCAATGTGTGAAGGTAAAGTCAAAAATAACAACATCCCCTCCAGGTCAACTATATACACTGCAGACTTTACAGCAGATCCTTTCTCATTTTTATTCTGGAGATGTTGATGATGTCTCAGTACAACATTAATGTAGGAAAACACCACCAAAAGTACACCTGTCACTTTGCAGGCAGCCAGCAACCCAGAGCGTCAGAATTTTAGGGGTTAATTTTTACAGGCCTGAAAATTGAACATTAAAAGTAAAATAAAATGTGTGGATGCATATACAGAAAACTGTTAATTCCCCCCACTGGGTGCAAATTAAAAGGACAAAAAGTATCTTTATTAAAATAACACTAACTCAGCCTCTTCCTGAAGATGGCCCAATACAAGCCTATGAGACAGAAGATCTTTTGCAGGAGAGGCTATAAACATTGGAGCAGGCTGCAGCTGGGCTACTGGGTTAGCCCCCATTCACACTTAAAATTGTATTAAACTCTCAAACCTTTTTTTAAAATATGAAAGCAGAACAAATAGACATTGGCCAACAAAGTATTTTTTTACAATTTTGCCTGAGCACTTGCAGTCATCATGTTTCCAAACAGCTGGCTCCACTTCTCTCAACTGAGCTTCCCTGAACTTCCTGTCCAGCACAAGATTACAAGGGACAGAGCAGAAGGAAGAGAGAATAGGGGAATAAGAATAATGGCTGTGTCTTTGTAGAATCGTGCATGGATCCCACCGCATTCCTGAATGAGTATACCCCGACATTCAAAGGGGGGTGCTGTAATGACTGCAGATGACACCGCCAAATCAGCTACTTATTGCTGGGATTTGTTGTAGTCCTCTATAGCTGGTGATATTCTGCATTGCTCTGTATAATGTACTATTGCTGGAGCCATTTTTTTTTATTGTTTATCCGATTAACCGATTAATCGAACTTAATAATCGGCTAACTAATCGATTTTGAAAATAATCGTTAGCTGCAGCTCTATACAACGTGCTAAAAAGTCACTCAATATAGCGGGTGGCACCTCCTTGCCCGTACCGATGCTGGGAGAACCTAGCACTTGCATGTAAATGTTGGCAGGCCGTGCATGCGTGTTGGCCGTTCATGATGGTGTCAATACCAAAAGTGACAAAAGTGAAAAAAAGCGAACATCATGGCCGAGTACCACTAATAATATGATAACATGATATGTAGAAAAGGTGGCCTGTAATAAACAATATATATCAAACCAAGCTAGCATTTGAAAGAAAAAAAAAGGAAGTATGTGACAAGATAAACGTTGATCCAGCTTATGTTGAATTGGCCAAACCATAAGCATGATAAAAGGCAGAAATAATAAATATCATCTGATATGTTATAGTAACAGGTAACTGAAAATATGTGGTTAAACCAATCAGACAGCATATATGGAACACATGACATCATGCATTCAGACTATAGCATAAACGCACCCTGTGCGTGGGTCAAGTTGGTCACAAAAACATAAAGAACCATAGTGTGAATGATTTAGGACCCTTGTTCCTGATCTGTAAAATACGCATAAAACAAGGGAACAACCCATCTGACCATCATCACCTGTCAGTAAGGAAACAAGTGAACGACAAATTGACATTGAGGCCCTTTGGTGAGACCAAATCAAGCAAATCCAATACGCCTCCCTGCGTAAAAGTTGTATCTGTCTTTTGTCCCCCCGCAGGGGTGCCTGCACATGGTCCATGACCATTCCTCTTAAGTCATGTACTTGATGTCTTTGCTGCGCAAAGTGCACGGATACTGGTTTAGTCCCGTCTATCTCTTCTCCTTTAGAAAGTTTGGCTAGGGTAACTCTAATATGACTGCGGTATTTCTGGAAGCGTCTATTGAAGGGGCCAATGGTCTTGCCCACATAAACAAGGGCACAATGGCATTTGAGCATATAAATACAAAATCAGTATTGCAACTGAGATACTCCTTAACCCCTTAATGACAAAGGCCTTTTCATTTTTTTGCACCCATGTTATAATCCACATTTTAGGCCTGAAAATTATTTAAAACCCCCACACATTATATATTTTCTGAAAGCCAAGACCATATAGAATACAATGGTGGCAGTTGCAAATTTTTATGTTGCACGACATTAGCGCAACTTGTCAAACCCAAAAATTTAGTGAAAAAAAAACAAAAAACACTCAAGTTAAATGTAGTGCACCAAAAACACAATCTAAAACCATTTTTTTGTCAAATATAAAAGATGAGGTTACAACGAGTAAATAGATACCCAACATGCCCAGGTAAATAAATTGTGTGTGTCCAGGAAACTGCGACAGAATTCAGTACTCCAAAAAGCCCATAGACGACGCTTTAAAAGCACCCACAGGTCATTAGTTTAGAGATACGTGTAAATATTGGCCCTAGAACTATTGCTCTCACTCTGGCGTGTGTGGCAGTACCCAACATGTGTAGCGCAATCGTCGTTTTCGTACGCTGGCGCACCCAACGCGCGTTTACGTGGCAATGCACGTGCTCACTGGGGGACCTTTTAATTTATTTTTATATTTAATTTATTCAATATTTTTAAAGCTGTTGTTTTTTTTTTTACTTTAATTGCCATCACATAGGGGGTGGGGGGGGGCTTACAAGCCCCCATGTGATAGCATATTGGTGGTGACAGGTACTCTTTAAGGTGGTGCTGGGGGTCCAATAGACCCCTGGTGTTACCTTTACACTGTAAAGATCGCACTTCAATAGCTTATTGCTGGGCTTCAGTATCCCAGCAATAACAGCAATGGGAACGGAAGTGATGCAGTTGCTCCCGGTCCCATAGAACGGGGAGGAAATCGGTGAGCGGCCCGGTTACCGGATCGTAGAAGTGATCTGGCGGGCAGAAATCGCTTCTACTGTAAAGCCGGGTGACGGCTCTACAAAACTGAACAGACTCCCGGCGGCTTTTAGCCTGTTTAACGCCTTCAGACTTCATGACGGGATTATCCAGTCATAGGTCGTGAAGAGGTTATCAATATACCTTCTCCAACATTTGACATGTGTTTGAAACACCTGTGACGGACAAATGTACACCTGTTCAAGAAACCCAACAAAAAAGGTTAGCAAACAAAGGTGCAGCAGAGCTACCCATGGCTGTGTCCTTAATATGTAAAAATATCTGTTGTTCAAATGAGAAAAAGTTTTGCTCTAGTACAAAACGCATGCACTCTATGATGTACTCAGTGGGTAATGTGTGGTGACTGTCCTGACTGCTTAGTTGGGGATGCTTGTATGTCTACGGTGATTGTTGGTTTCTGCACTTGTGTGTGTACATGCATACATACAGCGCATTTGTGGGGACACACACAGCTTGCTACCACACACAAGGGTGGCTTCATAGGACCCTGCAAGGGAAAGGAGCCATTCTAAAACAGGATATCAGGGCCCATGCTCAGGGGACCAGCTGATTCTGTAGGAAACAAACTTTTAAAATCAAGGAGCAGCATTCACTGTAAGTGATTTTTGGCGTTAATATCACTTTAAGTGTGAGCATTTGCAGGCAATTTTAAAGCTTTTTTTTGTGTGTTTTTCCAGGCACTCCCGTTACAAGTCTACGGGGTCCTTAAAACTGTGATTCTGCCTAAAAAAAATGCTCATGTACTTTTTCAAGCCACATTGCAACAACACTCGGGTGTCAACGGGCACCATTAAAAAATAAGGGAATGTTGAAGGTTGACTGATGTGCTTCAGTTAAAAATGGGGGGGCCTAAGGCAAGGTGAAAATGGAGGGCCTAATGTAGGATTTTGTTTAGGATACAGTTTTAAAGTGGAACTGCATCCAATGTCATTTTAGTTTTAGATAGAGTGGAGAATTACAGTTTTTCTTGCTGTCCCCCACTGGAGAGATTACCCCTCAGCACCACATACTAAGACAGGAAGTGAAGAGAATCTCTCCAATGTAGACACAGGCAGGAATAGAAGCACTTTAGTAGCAGAGAGGAGACTGATAGGAACCTCAGTTTGTGAAGAAAAACAAAAATGATCCTCGTCTTACCGTCCTCTCCCAGCTGTTCTCGGATTTTCTCAAAATCTGAACCTCCAACAACTCCGACCTTTACTCTTTTTCTCATGCTCTGAAGAAATTCTGCCATGTCATTAGTGACTTTCTGGAAGTCTGGGGGACCTTTTAATTTATTTTTATATTTAATTTATTCAATATTTTTAAAGCTGTTGTTTTTTTTTTTACTTTAATTGCCATCACATAGGGGGTGGGGGGGGGCTTACAAGCCCCCATGTGATAGCATATTGGTGGTGACAGGTACTCTTTAAGGTGGTGCTGGGGGTCCAATAGACCCCTGGTGTTACCTTTACACTGTAAAGATCGCACTTCAATAGCTTATTGCTGGGCTTCAGTATCCCAGCAATAACAGCAATGGGAACGGAAGTGATGCAGTTGCTCCCGGTCCCATAGAACGGGGAGGAAATCGGTGAGCGGCCCGGTTACCGGATCGTAGAAGTGATCTGGCGGGCAGAAATCGCTTCTACTGTAAAGCCGGGTGACGGCTCTACAAAACTGAACAGACTCCCGGCGGCTTTTAGCCTGTTTAACGCCTTCAGACTTCATGACGGGATTATCCAGTCATAGGTCGTGAAGAGGTTATCAATATACCTTCTCCAACATTTGACATGTGTTTGAAACACCTGTGACGGACAAATGTACACCTGTTCAAGAAACCCAACAAAAAAGGTTAGCAAACAAAGGTGCAGCAGAGCTACCCATGGCTGTGTCCTTAATATGTAAAAATATCTGTTGTTCAAATGAGAAAAAGTTTTGCTCTAGTACAAAACGCATGCACTCTATGATGTACTCAGTGGGTAATGTGTGGTGACTGTCCTGACTGCTTAGTTGGGGATGCTTGTATGTCTACGGTGATTGTTGGTTTCTGCACTTGTGTGTGTACATGCATACATACAGCGCATTTGTGGGGACACACACAGCTTGCTACCACACACAAGGGTGGCTTCATAGGACCCTGCAAGGGAAAGGAGCCATTCTAAAACAGGATATCAGGGCCCATGCTCAGGGGACCAGCTGATTCTGTAGGAAACAAACTTTTAAAATCAAGGAGCAGCATTCACTGTAAGTGATTTTTGGCGTTAATATCACTTTAAGTGTGAGCATTTGCAGGCAATTTTAAAGCTTTTTTTTGTGTGTTTTTCCAGGCACTCCCGTTACAAGTCTACGGGGTCCTTAAAACTGTGATTCTGCCTAAAAAAAATGCTCATGTACTTTTTCAAGCCACATTGCAACAACACTCGGGTGTCAACGGGCACCATTAAAAAATAAGGGAATGTTGAAGGTTGACTGATGTGCTTCAGTTAAAAATGGGGGGGCCTAAGGCAAGGTGAAAATGGAGGGCCTAATGTAGGATTTTGTTTAGGATACAGTTTTAAAGTGGAACTGCATCCAATGTCATTTTAGTTTTAGATAGAGTGGAGAATTACAGTTTTTCTTGCTGTCCCCCACTGGAGAGATTACCCCTCAGCACCACATACTAAGACAGGAAGTGAAGAGAATCTCTCCAATGTAGACACAGGCAGGAATAGAAGCACTTTAGTAGCAGAGAGGAGACTGATAGGAACCTCAGTTTGTGAAGAAAAACAAAAATGATCCTCGTCTTACCGTCCTCTCCCAGCTGTTCTCGGATTTTCTCAAAATCTGAACCTCCAACAACTCCGACCTTTACTCTTTTTCTCATGCTCTGAAGAAATTCTGCCATGTCATTAGTGACTTTCTGGAAGTAAGTAACAAAGCATTAACTCAAGCAAACAATTGTCAAATTCGTTCTGCTTCTAAACTCAAAAAGCATTACAAAAAGGTGACATTTACAGGTGGCTGACTTAAAAACAGCAATTTATTCCCATTTGCCCATTTCAAATGCCACATAATATCCCAGAGATTACCTGCTCACCCGGCAAAAGAACAGCAAATACCTACAACTGCAATTCCTCCCCATATTTCTCAGTGTATGGCAGAGGTATTAGAAGGATAGCAAGTGATCCTTCCTGATATACAAGGCCAATCTATACATTTAGGGAGGAAATGCTGTGCACTCATGAAATGAATATAGAAATATAGTTACTACTAAGTGCAATTTCTGTTTCCCCCTGTACTCCATACTCACACACAAGAGAGATATCTTCTCATCTCTAGTACCAGAGATTTGTTCTCTTTCTTTTGGGGAAAAAAATAAAGGAAAGGCAAATCATTTTCTGTGCTCCTATGGAATTTTGGGTAGGAAAGAATGGCCAATCTAATCTTAGAACACCGAAAGTTAGGAGAATGGTTCGATTTCATCTAGCTTCGGTAATAACTTAAGCTGGCCATACACCTTACAATTATCTGCAGATTTTCTATGGTCAGATGGAAAAGATGCAACAGATTCCTCCATCTACACTTACCTGTGCGGATGGAGGAATCTCCACCTGGGCCAATCTGTTACACTTTGTCCATCTGACCACAGAAAGTCTGTAGATAATTGTAAGGTGTATGGGCAGCTTTAGAGGTAACTCTCAAGGTGGCTTTCAAGGAGGCTCAAAGAGATGAAATATTAATCTTCACAGGTTTCCAAGAAAAGTTCCAGGAAGGACAGGCAGATGTCTATACAAATAACAAGTGTGTGCCTAGATGAATCTAACAAATCTTAGGATCAGATGATCTGCCAGTTTTTCAAAGATTCCAAATTCATAATGTGTTCATTAATCTGTTTAAAAAGGTCCTGGATTCAATTAAAGACTGTCCATATTGTCCTGAAGTATCTGGCCCCTAAAAACATAAGTCTTTCAAAGGGGAGAATCAAAGTGTCTTGTCAAGTCATGAGTCTAAAAGTTGCCCATACACCTTACAACCATCACACGACTTTTGTCTTGCGATGGTTGTAAGCTAATTAAAAGCTCGTACCATCTGCCTATCTTAAACAGGCAGATCCTACTTGCGATCACCGCAAGCCTGCCCCCTGAGGGGCGGGCTTCCGATGACGGCAATGAGGGGCGGGCTTCCGATGAGGGGCGGGCTTCTCTAACAAGCAGGCCACTAACCTGCTGAGAATCGTACAATTCTCGGCGGGTTTTCCAGCCTGCTTGTTCGACGGAAGACATGCGACCGTACAGTAGAAACGGTTGTACGCCTTCCATACCCTTTGCGATTATCGCACGATGGCGGGATTTCCTGCGATTATCGTACGATAATCGTATAGTGTATGGGCACCTTAAAAAGGAGAACTATGAGGTTAATGCTTTTCCCCATAGTTCTCCTTAGGGTAACGGGAGGACACAAACTAGCGTCCTCCCGTCACCCTAGGCTCAGTATACCGCGAGCTGTAGATGACGCTACACTGAGACGTAAAGTATATTACTGACGTGGAAGAACCACACAGCAAAAATGTAAAAAATGTGTCAGTCATTTATGAACAGAACCTGAAAACTAGCTCAGTCATGAAGGGGTTAAGGAGCCCGTACCACAGTCTTTTGGGCCACTTTATAAAGTCTAGAAAGATAACCTCTCCCTCTCCTTCCTCTTTAAAGATTTTCTTAAAATTGTGGTAGAATGCCCAAAAACATCAATCCGATTTGTCCCTTAGTCATGTCTCAGGGCTTCCACCCTATCCCAAGAGTGCTTTAGGTTTAGAAACATCTGAACCTTTGTTTGGTCACTTATTGCTGCAACATACTCTAACTTGGAATACACCTATTTCAGAGGGAGTTTGTGAAATACAGATTTTAGGAACCATTCCACTTGATCAATGTCCCTTTTGTTACGCAAGAATGCTAGAAATTACTTTTCTTTTAGATTGATTCCTCCCAATGATGATGTTCTTTGCGCAGGAAGTTAGGTGTTGTGGTATATCTAGTAGTACAGTTCCTTCCTGGCACACATTTCCCGCTACCATCATACTGCCCGAGAGAGCAAAGCATACCTGCAATTAGTGTTACAGCTGAATCAGTGATTTCTATGTAAACTCAGAAACCATCTCATAAGCTAGATCTGCTTAATAACCTCCTTGGCGGTAAAAAAAAAAAAAAAAAAAAAGGAAATAATCAGACCGCCAGGGAGGTTAAAGAGAACAACTACCAACAGTGAAAGTGTTCCATCCAGCCGCCAACACTGAGTCATGTGGCTGCAACTCAATATACAACCATGGCGACACGGTAAAGAGGTTATGTTAGTGTTCTACCATATATTAGAACCACGAATGTGTCAGGTGCTCGAAGTGGTGGCGGGAGCATTTCAGAAACTGCTCATCTCCGGGGATTTTTCCACTCTGCAGTCTTTAGGGCCTGTTCACATGAGTTTCAGGTCTGGATCAGGTCCGGATCAGCAGACGCGGTGCTATGTGTTTTGCCGCGTTCCAGTAAAATATATATATATTTTTTTTTTTTTTGCTGGAGTGGGGCTGTCAGTATGTTAACTGCAGTGCAGTGCGTTTTTGGACCGTTTCCTGACCGTACAAAATGTGACATGCAGTATTTTTCTGTCGTAACCTGAACGGACTGCGCACGTGAGAACTGTAGCCCATAAAACACATAGGGATACATTGGGATGCATTTTTAGTGCAGGAGCGTACGGATCAGGTCAGCACAGAAAACGGACGTCGTGTGAACAGGCCCTTAAACTTTACAGGTGAATTATCCAATGAGAGGCAGATCTTTGGGTAAAAAGAAGTCAAAGAAGAATTGCCAGACTTCCTCTACCTGATCTGAAGATTCTAACTGCTTAAACTCCCACATTGTAATTACACATTAACCACTTAGAGTTGTCAGAACTCAGAATTTTTCCTTACAGTGGTCTTTAACCATGATTCTGGAACAAATGTGAAAACCGGCAATCTCTGTACAGCAAACAAAACTTCTCACCTTGTCCTGGTGCCGCACCACAAAAACCCAATGTCATGAAACATAACCTTGCTAAAAGATCTTTTACTTTTGACACTTCTGGGAGTGTCAGATGCCGCTGTCCCCTGCCGGGCCCTGGGGTTCCATTCTCTGACCTCTATGTCAGTATAGGAAACAGTAAAAGCAACTTTTTAGCAGGATTATCCCTTTAAGACAGCAATGGCCATAGGACAGACGAGTATTAATTACTTGCTTTGCAGAGATTGCCAGTTGTCATGTTTTAAAAAAAAATTTGGGTTATTTTACTTTTTTTTTTTAAACTTTTTTTTTTTTTTTACACTTAACTTTATTGCTATCACATAGGGGGCTAAGAAATCCCTTATGTGATACCCAATTCACATGACAGGTCCTCTTTATGGAGACATCACGGGTCTCCAAGACCCCTGATGTCACCTAGGGACTCCCAGAGAAACTGATGAAGCACAGATCTGCTTCCATCAGCTTCTCACCGGCATCTGTACCGTAGAGTGACACTGAATGCAGGAAGTGATGTAATATACATCACTTCCTGCATTTGAGGACACAGGGAAATAGTGTACTGATCTCCCTTTGATCTCCACTGACAGCGTCGACGTGCCGGTCCAAGCCGCACCGGGCACAGCGGATCTCGGGACCAGCAGCGGTGGCGATGAGGACGGCGGCAAAGGAGGTATAGGGGGGCGCACAGCCGCAGTTGGTACAAGAGATCGGGCAGCTCTAGAGATGCCCGATCGCTTGAATGTAAACAGCCATCGTGCTGCGCACGAGCGGGGGGAGGGGCAGGATGTCTTAAGACGCCCTGCCGCTCTTATAAGGCTCCCGTCCGGCCGTTTAGGAACAGTCGCGGATGGGAGGTGGTTAAAGAAGAACTCAGAGGAACAATGTTATTAACCCTTGCAGTGGGGCTACCCCTGCACAGCAAGGGTTAACTGCTCATTTGTTTCTAGGTGCTAACAAAAAAAAAGTTATACTCACCCTATCATTACAGACAGCTTGTTCTTGTATCAGTCCCTAGAGCCTCTCTACCGCTCCGCTGCAGCAGTCGAAGATGCATTCTGTCTGTGCAGCGGAGGAGGAGGAGACAGGTTTCAGTGACCAGAGAAGCAGGGAGTCAGCTCGGCAGTTCAGGTAAGTAGTATAAAACTTTTTTTTTTTAGCACTTAAGACACAAATGAGCAGTTAACCCTCGCAGTGCTGGGGTAGCCCCACTACAAGGGTTAATAAAACTTTTCCCTGCAGTTCTTCTTTAATACAAAGTAGTAGCATTTAAATGCCACAGCATTCCTGAGTTACCTTGTGAAAGCTGAACTCCAGGATAAGCAGATATTGTCTAAATACAAGAATCATGTGCATTCTTACTTGAATCTTGGTGTGCTTTGTGTATTTCCAGATCTGAGCAATAATCCAGTGTGAAAAGTTGCCTTTGTACAGAAGCGTATTGTAATAAAGACCGGTCACTGCTGCTCTCTCCTTGTACAGGGTGACTGGTCTTCCATGCACCCTCTCCTGTAGTTATCTGCAGGAAGCCTGTAGTGGGTGGAGCTTCTGGGCCCCTCCCACAGATCTGTGTATAGCACAGTAATGATGTCACTGCTATTTTTAAAAGGCAATATCTGGGTTTGCGAAGACTTTGGTGCACACAAAGTGGATTTATAATCTTTGTATAGGGCTATATTTAAATGAAGGTGTTTGTGCCCAAAATTCTGAAGTCCCAGCACACACTATCCTGTTGTAACATCAGCATTGTAATAGGAATACATAGTATAGTTGGTTTTAATCATGCAATCAAAGCAGTTTTTATGCAGTGACTGCTGCCTTCTGACTGCCCATCACTTCCAACTAATTCCTGCATTCCCAGTGTGCTTTGCATCTCTTTCCCTGCTGCATGATGTGATGTCATCTCGATTGCTCAAGACTACATAACCCATCATGCATTGCTTCCAGCAAGTAATGATGTTATTGTTCAGAAGGCAGGCTCTGTGAGAGTTGTGACACAAGGAAGTTGTCCCACCCTGAGGCACAGTTGTTCTAATGTCTGCTGTTCTTCATCTGAAATGCCAGGTGTAGTTTTGAGGCCCGTTCCCACTTCGCACAGCGTGGACACGGATTCATGTTTTTCCTGCACGTCAGCCCATTTCATCAAGCAGATCCAAAATCGCCATGTAACAAAAGGGTGGAGGCATGCCCGGCTGCAACTGATTGGGCATGGGGTGTCACAGCCTGGGTAAACCCTGAAGAACTGGGTTCATCTGGTTCAATGGTCAGCAAACGTGCAGCAGACGCAGGAGGGACGATCATGCAGCATTTTCAGCTTCAGCATCCCACGCTTTTTCTCCCTGTGCGTTTCTACGTGTCCACACGCAGGAAAAAAATATGCATAATTACTGGACACATTTGGGGTGCCATTACCAAGTAATGATAGTTGGGGGAATTTATCAAAGCTGGAGCAGTTGCCCATGGTAACCCATCAGCTTCTCTCTTCAGTTTGCTCAGGTGAGAGTTGAAAATGAGAGATAGAAGGTGATTGGTTGCTCTGCAAATCTGCTCCAGTTTTGATCAATCCCCCTGTCAAGTGACCAGGGGTGGCCATTTGAAAGAAGTCAGTGGAACTATCCTCCCAAGTCTAACTCTCCAAAGTAGCCTTATGATGAAAAGGCACAAAAGATGAAATAATAAAGTTTATCATGTAAATTAAAGTGTTCAGTGTGTTCTCTGCAATGATGAGTAGAAGGAGATCCTCTTCCACTGCAGAGGAACTACACATCCCAGCATGTCACACTCCGGAGCTGACGTATAGAGGTACCTGCCTGGCAGCTGTCAGAGTCCCGTCCACATCGAACAGACACAGAGTACTCCCCCGATCAGCCATGACTGCTGTCACTGTGTGTGATTCTTCCTTCCTGATGATGAATGAACCGTCCAATCCGCACGCACAACCAGCGGCCACATCACTACTTCCTGGTCACATGGCCTATCCCGGAAGTGACGTGTGCGCTGCTTGGGAGTACATCTCTGCGTGTTAGGAGAGACTTCTGGCATGAGAGTGTGGAAGCAGGTGAGGTGTGCTGATCATAGTGGCAATGACATCATCTGCTATAGTCTGTGTACATCGTGTCCGTCATGCTCATCCCGCTGTGTTGCGAATTAGAAGTAACTCCCAACTGTCCCTGATTTGGAACCAAATCTCCTCCTCACTTGAGATATGCAAGGACTTGATATGAACCCAGTTCTTCAGGGTTTATCCAGGCTGTGACACCCCATGCCCAATCAGCTGCAGCCGGACATCCCTCCACCCTTTGTTACATGGCGATTTGGGATCTGCTTGATGAACTGGCCTCTAAAAATGCCCACCCACTTCACCTGAGCGTGGCCAAGCCCAATCAAAACTGTGCTTGACACACAACCCTCCTGGCCCAATCAGTTGTGTCAGGTGCATTCTCCACCCTGCAGCTAAATGTCATAAAGGGGCGGGAAATGGCCACCACCGCAACTGCTGCCATTGATTGGGTGGTCATAGATTTAATCGGGATGTGCGGACTGGGATTACACCAATCCCAGCTTGCTCCTCACTTGTCCCTCTTTTTAGTCTAGACTTCTAATGGGCTCATGCACACGGGAGTATTGTTCATATTTACACTTGATCTTGTGTCAGAAGCTGCTGTAATAAACACATGTAATGGCAGTAAAACTTGTGTTTATGTACCTAAGGGCCGTTCCACACCTAGGCAATCTGTGACAATTGTGCACCATACCGTGTGGATTGCCGCGTGGTCACTGAGTCGCCCATCACAGATGATCGCACTGTGGGTGCCATTATTTTCTAATGGCACCCCAGTTGCGCCGGACGGATCACGCGGTTTCGGCCATGCATCCAAACACGATAAAACAGCTGCGCGTTGTGTATCGCAAAAAAATGTACATGTACCCTTTTTCTACAATTGCCACGCGGATGTTATCTCCTTGAAATCAATGGGACCATGCAACAAACGCTGTCTGCAATTGTGCAGGACCGTGCTATCCCGATCACTCAGGTGTGCGCCGGGCCTAGACATGAATACAGCATTTAGAGGCTTCCGAATTCTTGTTTTCCTTTTTTCTACAACCACAATAGCTGTATTCACATACGGGTGCGCACATTTATATATTTATACATAGAAATTACTCAGAAATGCTCATGAATGCATTGGGGGTGATTTACTAACCTAAACACATGCACGCACCAGCTGCGTGTGATTTTCACACAGCAAAACGTATTTATCAACCAAAAAGTCTCTAAAAGCATATTTCCACTATTGTCATATATGGAAAAATCATGCACATGATGCATATATAATGCTGCTTCACAGTTTAGACAAAAATGGTTAGCTCATGCATTTACATTCCTGCATTCATCACCGCAAGCAACACAACGTAGAGCTAATTTACACAACATCACCTTGCAATTCATGCAGGGCTTTGCACAACACACCTGCTGGGTGTGTACACACTACAAAGGTTTCTAGATTCCCCCAATAGATCATGCTGGGAGGGAACACACTACAGAGGTGTATACATGTTCGTGGTGTGTTTATAAGGTTAGTAAATCAACCCCATTGTGTCAGTCCAAAAAGAGGAGGAATGACGGATAGTTGGGAGCTATACAAGCCACTGTGCAACACACATTACTCAAGTATGACCCACTGCTATCACAAAGATACTTTTATTGATACAAACTGGGTGAAGGAAGATTACACTTATATGCTCCGGACCTTTACACTTCTTTTGTGTTTATCAGTTGCATAATATGCAGTATGTACACATTGCTGCACATGTAGGGACACATTGTGACAGGGGGATCAATTTAGATATTATTTTGTAAATTATTAGTGGAGTGGTCTGTGAATCTGGGAATACACAGCTGCTGGTCATTTATAATCACTGTTCACACAGAAGCATACTCGCAGCTCATTTGGTATTGCATGATACACTGCTGTTGCTTTCAGGAAGCTGGTCCTAAGCAGTGAACCTAAAGAAGAATTGACTCCAGACCATTATAGCTTCCCTTTAAAGCAGAACCTTGCACTAAATAGCAAGGGGCACCTATTCAGTGTGCCCCCCTCCTCCTCCTCCTCTTCCTGCTTAAACTGCAAAACAAAACCGGGGGGGAAAGGTTAGGTACTTACCTCCCCCCAGGCCTCTGTATGTATTGACTAGGCAAGAGTGACATCCTCATCCTTCCTGCATGATCATTGGGAATGCTGAGTTGTGTAAGTCATACCAGTAGATGCACCTACACCTCACTGAAGCATTATCTCACGAGATTTGGAGTACTCTGCATTTACAGGAATCTTATTGGCCGGATGCGGACATCACCTTCTGCATACAGAAGATGGGGCAAAGGTAAGTATAATATCTAACTTTTCTCCCATAGGGGTTTTTTTTTTGGGTGTTTAAGGAAAGGGAAGGGAGACCCCACTAAATAAGCAGACCTCAGTTGGAATACTAGATCTGCTTTAAAGGCACCTTGGACATTATAAAATATAAAGTGTGTGTGGGGGTGGATTGGCCAGTCGTGGCTTTAAAACAGGCCTATTAGAGTAATGTGTTATTTCTCTTTAACAGGATCCATAAGCATGGCACTACTTTATGTTTTTTCTATGAGGTTCAGACCCATTAACAGACAGTTATCATTATGGACATGGAAATCAAGAATCCATAGGAGTGCCAGCATCACTGGATATGTAGAAAATCCTCAGGCTTTCCATGGAAATGTATTTGCACATTTGTCTTCTAAATACAAGAATCCACTGGTACTAAGCCAACATATGTTCTGTTCATCTGCTTCTGACAATAAGACCGATGTGAAGAAATTTAATTTGATATACAAGTTTCCTGGAATACGCATGTGCAAAATTCTGTCCAGACTGAAGTTGCTGCAGACATTGTTGACTCTTACAGTCCTTCCACCACTTTATTATTATTATTTACAAGGGCAAGTTGCAGAGTTTACCGTTTTTCATTTCACTGGAATAGCGGTGTTTGCTGGTGTTATGCTCTATAGCCTTACATATTATTTACAGAGAATTATAGGGATGATTTATATAAACCAAGAAGCAACAACTCTGAAGATTTCCCACTTGACATTTTGGGGTGAAAGAAAAGATATTTATTTACCAATTGAAGATGTGAAAACACTGTCAGAAACTGGAGACCAAAAAGGGGAAGTTCTCCATAAGTTCAGAAGATACAGCAGTCTTGATGTACTTTACTTAACCATACGCTTTGGTCAGATTCTGGATAAAGAAAAGTTTACTTTTATATTTGGAGACATAAAATAATTCACTGTTAGCCCAATCAAGTCCCAAAGATAGATACAGCTGTCTGGATCCTTATTTTGTTTTCTGGATAATTTTATTATACATCAGTGAACTGCCCTGACTTCTATACATAACGGAAATCCGCATGTGTTTGTGTCTTTCCATCTTACAGTACCTCAGAAGTAATTAGAGTGGTTAGTAAGATTTCAGTACAGGGGTTACAAAGAATGTAATACTTTGTATAGTAAAATATAGGAGGAGATCATATTACAAAAGCTCCAAATTCACATACAAATATATTTTCTTTTTACATATATTTCCTTAACATGAATGTTTCCTAAGCATTTGTCATTTAGTACTACCAACGCGAGTACCACCGTGCAGTTACAATTTAACGTAGGCTGTTTGCAGGGTATGTGTACCACCTACTAACTACTGTTGCTGTACCTTCTCCTTTCCTTGTGCCTCCAGTGGTGGTCTTTGTTGTGCTCACCCAGAGATGGCAGCCTGTCTGCTCTGACATGAAACATCTCATCAGAATGTTGCTGTCTACAAATGATCCTAAAGTCCTTAAATAAAGACATTCCTATGGTCTAAAACCCTATAGGACCTGAACAGATGTTTCTGGGGGGCATGTGATAGCAATGACGTTTTAAAAAAATGTAAAAAACAAAAGTTAAATAAAATAAAAAATGACTCCAGTGATAGATAATTAAATGTGTTTGGAAATGCTAGAGAATTGCTTCAAAAATGCATTACACTAAAAATAAACCTATTCGATTTTAGTCGACTAAAAGCGCCTTTATTTCCGTTGACTAAAATAAAAATGAATCTAATTACTAAAATGCGACTAAAAATAAATATTAATTTTTGTCAAAAGACTAAGACGAAAATGAAATTTGGTGCCAAAATGAACAATGCTTGGAAGACGGCTCTGTAGCGCGAGTTGCTTTATTTGGATCCTGACAATATCTGCAGGAGTAAGGCTGACAGTAAAAGGCTAAATATAGGCTGGGAGCACACAGAGGAGGATCATTTAGTGACAACATTCAGCCAGTAGATCTGTTGCCTACAGACATGGAAAAAATCAGTCAGGAATGGGCATGTCTAAAATTCTGAATAATCTCTCAGAGATGGGTGTATTGGGTACGGGAACGGCTCGGGAGGGTGTCAGGAGGTAAGTTGGGAGGGGGATCAGCATCTTCCTCCTTGCTGATCTCCCTCCATGCTGTGAATGCAGAAGTGATGTGCATTACATGCTGCTATAGCCAGAGAGAAGAAGCCGATGAAGCAGATCTGTGCTTCATCAGCTTCTTTTGGGGTCCCCAGGTGACATTGGGGGTCTTAGAGACCCCTAATGTCTCCATGAAGAGGACCTGTCAGTGTGCCTTTGCTATTATATTGTTATCCCCCTATGTGATAGCAATAAGTACAAAAAAAAGTTTATAAAAAAATAAGTCACATATAAAAAAAAGTGAAAAGAAAACCCAAAAAGTCCCCCTCGTTTACACACATATAAACGTAGATACGCGTTTGATGCGCCAGTGTGCGAAAATGACAATTGCGCTACACGTTACATATCGCTGCGAACGTCGGAGTGAGAGCAATCATTTTAGGGCCATCAATCACTGATAACACTAAACTGATGAGCGGTAAAAGCTTTTAAAGTGTCGCCTATGGCCAATTTTGGGTATTGTAGTTTTATGAGGTTTCGAAAGCAGGCATGTTTGGTGTCATTTACCCGACGTAAAAGCAGAGACGCCGTCAAGCCAGAGTGATAAGCAAACGTTTATTTATTGATTTAAAGCACAACAGATATTGCAACGAACGTTTTGGGGTCGCACAGGATCCCCTTTCTCAGGCAAAAAAAGCTTTTTTGCCTGAGGGAGGGGATCCTGTGCAACCCCGAAACGTTCGTTGCATTACCTGTTGTGCTGTAAATCAATAAATAAACGTTTGCTTATCACTCTGGAGTGCCGGTGTCTCTGCTTATGCTTGTGACGGCTGCCACCCGTCGACTACCGTAGCACACGCTTCTTAAAAGGGATCCTGCAGTCAGGAATGCGATGGGACCATGGACTTTCTATTTATCCAACGTGACCCCGTTTTTTATATTTTAGCAAAAAATTGGGCAATAATAAATGTTTCATCATTTAATATAGGGGAAAGTTTATTTTTTTAATTTTTGGTAATTTTTCCTTAATATAATAAAAAAATAAAAACACCAGTGGTGATTAAATACCACCAGAAGAAAGCTCTATCTGTCCCAAGAAATTGTATAAAATTAATTTCAGTACAGCGCTGCATGACGGAATAAATGTCAAACTACCGCAGCGCTAAATACTGAAAAATGGCCTGGACAGGAAGGGGGTTTAACGCGGACTTCAAGTGGTTAAAGTATTACTGGATGTCCTTTCAGTGGCAAAATGGTGTGCAACTTAGGGGATTTGGGGGGAGGGAAGGGTCTTTACATCTGAATGCTGCTGATGTCCTACAGCCTGTCCCCATCTACCTGCACTACAATTATAGCAGGTTGCATGTATGTTTTTTTTCACAGGGCATAGTTCCTCCTTTTTTTTGCTGGCTGCAATGGATTTTTCCCAATTCTTCCAGGACAGAACGAGAGAGGGGATCCACCCAACTTAAACAGGAAACATATCTACAATTAAAATAATAGGGGTCATCTCTTCCAACCACCTCAGTTATTGTTTCCACTGGCCGAACAGGAACATCAAAACTGCTTGTTATCTTTCCACAGGCCTTCATGCTAGTTACAGGGGTCTACAGGGTCACTGTATGCTCCCCCATAATTTCAGGAACTGTGGACTTGGTGGGGTTGAATGCCTGGACTTGTCCTGGCTAGGATTAACTTTCTTTGATTATTGTAGTTGTGGGACCCTTCCTCCCCATCACCCTCTCATTTGTTTCCCCAAAGTCCCTCCTCCCCAGGAGGAGAAGCAACCCTTACTAACATTTGGTCAGGCCTGGAGTTCTCCCCTGTGTTGCCTCTGGTGTGGGGGTAAGGGGGAGCCATTGGTGGCTAGCCATTCTCCCTATGTATGCTGCCAAGTTGTGGAGGATGGATCATATCCAATTGCATCCTCGAGCTCTTGGTGAATGGGACGCATGCAGTTGGAACAGGTCCATACTCCTTTTCTCTGGGGGGGCCATGTTGAAATGCATCTTCTGGAATGGACACTAATGTGTTGGAGTTGTGGGTACACCCTGGTGCTGGCATCCATAGACACCAAGAATGGAGTGCAAGCAGGTGGGGGATGGAGCCGTAAGTGGTCATGAACCTGGAGCTTCCCATTATTCCAAAGAGTGTCCTAGCAGACGTCCTCTGTGTAGCAGCACTACACCATGCAGTCTGATTCCACCATGCCAGCTGGTAGAGATTCAACAGATTTGGACAAGTTTGGTTGCAGTTCTTTGCTAACGGGTTTGCCCATGCCGTGGGTAGGGTACAATGTGGGGAATCCTTGGAAGGAGGTCTTCCTCTTGAGTGTTGGTTGCTTGGATGTTGCAGTGCCTCTTAAAAATGCAGGATTTGTATGCATTATGCGCTTTTGTCCACCATTAGTGTGGCAGAATGGGGGTTTTTTAAGTGGGAGAACTTGCACAATTGGTGGCTGACTAAATACTTTTTTGCCCCACTGTATATATACACACATGTAGGATATTCATGTATATTATATATGTATTATATATATATATTGTATACATACACACACAGGTCCTTGTATCAGTTCATTCTTACGTGTACCTGTACCCCTGTATGTTATGGTTTCTCAGGAAATCGGCCAAAAGCTTCTTGAATGATTCCACATTCTTAGCTGAGATCACTGCTTCCGGCAGCGAGTTCCAGACCCTAAGCGCTCTGAGAAGAATCCCCTTCGCCCCTTGTGCAGGAATTTCTTTTCCACCAATTTTAGGTGGTGGCCTCTAGTCTTTGTTACGGAGTTAATTGTAAAGAGTTTGTTGCTAATATAGCTGTCACTATTGAACAATTTGTACATGAAAATCATGTCCCCCCTTAATCTCCTTACTTTCAACGGGAACATGTTTAAATTTAGTAGCCTTGTCTCATAGCTCTGGTCCTCCATTCCCCTATTTAGTTTGGTTGCCCTCCGCTGGACTCTTTCAAGCTCAAGGACGTCCTTTCTGTGGACTGGTGACCAAAACTGGACCACGTACTCCAGATGAGGCCGAACCAGTGATGTGTAAAGTGGCAAAATTATAGACTTGTCTCTGCAATACATCCCCTTCTTAATACAGGACAAGACCCTGCTAGCTTTGTTTACAGCAGCCTGGCACTGCAAGCTATTAATCAATCTGTGGTCTACAATGACCCCCAAATCTTTTTCCATTTCTGACTTCCCTAGCGGCATACCCATGATTGTATAGCCCATTTGTTTATTTTTATTTCCAAAGTGCATGACTGCATTTATCGACATTAAACCTCATCTACCATATATTTGCCCACTCCCCTATTTAATCCAGGTCCCCCTGTAATGTTATAATGTCTAAGTCTGTTTCTATTACCCTTCCGATTTTGGTATCATCAGCAAACACTGAAACATTGCTATTCACACCCTCCCCGATGGCGTTTAATAAATAGGGTGAACAGCATGGGGCCCAGCACAGAACCCTGAGGCACACCGCTCATGACACTAGCCCATTCTGAAAAGGTGCCATTTATAGATACTCTTTGTACCCGTGTCTGTAGCCAGTACACACCATTCCATCTATGCCCATAGCTCTCAGCTTGTGTAGCAAGCGTTTGTGTGGTACCGTATCAACAGCCTTTGAGAAATCCAGATATACCACATCCACCGGCCTCCCTCCATCCAGATATCTACTTACCCCCTCATAAAAAGTTAGCAAGTTAGTCTGGCAGGAACGATCTTTCCTGAACCAATGCTGATTGTCATTGACTATGCCATTATCCTGAACAAATTCTACCAGATAGCCCTAATCATTCCCTCCAACACTTTACATACCACCGATGTTAAACTAACC